CCCCAATCAACAAACCCAGAGGGTATTCAGCTAAGCCAAAAGAAACAGCCATGAAAATGATGGAAATTGCAGAAAACCCCACCTCTGCTCACCAAGGGGAAAGAACTCCAGCCTACACCACAGGGACGGTGGATGCCTCAGATGACAGCTCGGAAGGCGAACCCCTGGTAAGTGGACGCATCACACCCATCTTCAAAACAGTGACTATATTAATCCCCCCCATGCCCGAAGCTGTGAAGGTGAAAGCCTTAATAGACTCTGGCTGCACCCGCTGCCTCATTAGCCCAACACTAGTGGGGAATCTGGGCATCCCATCCAGGAGACTGGAACAACCAATCTCATTTGGCCAGCTAGATGGATCCATAGCAGGGGGGGTGCCAGCTACCATAGCCACTCTGCCAATACACCTCTCCCTGGGCAACCATGAAGAGGACTTAACGTTTGTGGTGACCCCAGGTATGGAATGCCCAATGATTCTAGGGATGGAATGGTTGAAAAAAGGGAACCCCTGGGTAAATTGGAGGACGACAGAAATCAAATTCCCGAAGGGGGACCCTATGGACTTAAAACCCCAAGGGAGGCTACCAGAATCAAGAATAGAACAAGCATCCATAGGAGAGGAAAAAAGATTAACAGAAATACCAGAGGAATATAGGGACCTTGCTGAAGTCTTCAGTGAGGAGAGGGCGAATGAGCTTCCCCCCCACCGACCCACAGACTGTACCATTGAATTCAAGCCTGGGTCAAAACTCCCGAAGCCCAGATTATACTCCATGAGCCCAAAGGAGAAGGAGGAAATGGAAAGATTTATAAAAAAAAACCTGGAGAGAGGTTTCATTGAACCAGCTAAGCCTAAAGTGGCTGCCCCGGTCCTTTTTAGAGAGAAGAAGGATGGCTCTTTACGTTTATGCGTGGATTATAGGGCCCTGAACACAATCAGGGAAAGCAACCTATACCCGCTGCCCCTCATGAAAGACATGCTGTCACACCTATCGAAAGGGAAAATTTTTTCTAAACTAGACCTAAGGGAAGCTTACTATCGCGTGAGAATCAAGGAAGGGGACGAATGGAAGACTGCATTTAACTGCCCATGGGGTGCTATCAATTCAAAGTCTTGCCATTTGGATTACAAGGGGGCCCTGCAGTCTTTATGCAATTAATCAATGACGTTCTAAGGGAGCACCTGTTTAAGGGGGTCCTTGTTTACTTGGACGACATTCTTATCTTTACCGCAACAAAAGAAGAACACGTCAAACTTGTCAGAGCGGTTTTAAAGAAGCTGCGAGCCGCCCACCTATATGCCAAACTCTCAAAATGCGAATTCCCCAGGAAGGATAGACTACCTAGGCTATCGCATATCCCCACAGGGCATTGAAATGGCGACCCAGAGAAGGTCAGAGCAGTATTAGAATGGGCACCCACCCGCGCACAAAAAACAACTACAAAGTTCCTGGCCCTGGGCTTTGCAAATTTTTACCGCCAATTCATCCCCTCATTTGCACAGATAGCCTTGCCCCTCACCAACTTACTAAACACGAAGGGAACATCCTCAGTAAACCCTAGCCAGCCACTAACATGGACAATGGAGTGCCAAGCAGCGTTTGAGAGACTAAAGCGACTTTTTTCTGCCGAACCAGTACTAAGGCACCCAGATATGGACAAGCCCTTCATAATACAGGCAGATGCAAGTGATGTGGCAGTGGGGGCTGTGCTATTACAAGAAAATGATGATGCCGTATTGCAACCCTGTGCATATACATCTAAGAAACTCACGGAAACAGAACAGCGCTGGCCCGTATGGGAGAAGGAGGCTTATGGGATACGTTGGGCATTACTCACGTGGCGACAGTTCCTGGAAGGCAACAAAATCCCCTTCCCGGTATGGACTGATCACAAAAATTTAGAAGCCCTGAAAACTTCCAGGAAACTCAATCCCAAACAAGCCCTCTGGTCCCAGCATTTTCACCAATTCCAATTTAAGCTCAAACATTTACCAGGAAGAAAGAACTTCCTGGCAGATGCACTATCTCGCATGCCCCAATATAACAGCGCACGAACCACAGACTCTAGACCAATAATGGCAGAATCACAACTGGCAGCGCCAGTAACAACAAGAACCCAAGCCAAAATAAAACCACAACTGGACAGCCAAACTGGGATTGAATTCAGAAAAAGTTTGGAAACAGATGATTGGTTCCAGAAAAACAAACATGTGTGCACAATGAGAGAGGATGCTTGGGTAGGGGATAGAAAAGTATATACAACAATCAAAGATAACTTTCAATGCAACTTGCCATGACACAAAATCAGCAGGGCATTTTGGATTTGTAAAAACTTTACACTTAATTAAACGGCAATTTTGGTGGCCATCAATAAAAAGGACATAGAAAGTTATGTTGCCAGCTGCCCAACCTGTGCATCAGCAAAGAGGTTGCAAGGGAAATCGCCAGGGCTGTTACAACCAGTGGCAAGTCACTCAGCCCCCTGGAGGGAAATAGCCATGGATTTTATAGTGGAATTGCCTGAAAGCAATGGGAATACTGTTATCTGGACAGTCACGGACCTATTTTCCAAACAGGTGCACTTTATCCCTTGCCAAAAAATTCCCACTGCAAAGGCCTTAGCAAAACTTTTTATCCAGCACATTTACAGATTGCACGGGGCACCCCAACGCATCATCTCTTATAGGGGAGTGCAATTTACGTCTACATTTTGGAAGGAATTTTTATCCCTCTTAGGGACCACTCAGGGACTGACATCTAGCCATCACCCTCAGACAGATGGACAAGCGGAACGCTGCCAGTCGGTCCTTGAGCAATATTTGAGATGTTTTTTAAATTTCCAACAGAGTGATTGGACGGACTTACTTCCTTTTGCAGAAGTTGCCTACAATAATGCAGTCCACTCCAGCACAGGCTACACTCCTTTTCAAATAGCCAACGGCCAAAGTTTCAACCCTATGCCAGAGTTGACCCCCAAAGAACCAACGATCCCTTCACTGAAAGAATGGATGGAAAGCCTACAAAACACCTGGCCAATAGTCAGAAAATCACTAGATGAAGCTAGGCGGGCATACAAAGCACAAGCCGATAAAAAAAGGGTTGAGTCTACACCATTCATTATAGGAGAAATGGTGTACTTATCTACAAAATACCTAAAGTCCCTACAGCCTGTAAAAAACTTGGACCAAAATATATAGGACCTTTTCCAATTAAAAGAATCATAAATCCAGTAACAGTAGAATTAGAATTACCCAAAAACCTCAGGCAAATACACCCAATTTTTCATTGCAGCTTGCTGAAAAGAGAGCATCAGTCACCTCTTCGGCCAAAAATCCCCCCCCCACCACCTCCAATCATGGTGGAGGGGGAACAACACTTCGAAATAAAAGAGATCCTTGACTCTAGGAGATATCGTGGAACAACTCAGTACCTAGTTGCCTGGAAACACCTCCCTGCCTCACAAATTGAGTGGGTCCATAAACGTCACGTCAGAGCCCCGAAGCTATTGAAGAAGTTTCACACAGAGTATCCTAACAAGCCTAACTAAATTTTTTACTTGTGTTTTCTTTCGGGTGGATCTCTCTTATTGTTAAGAGGGGCCGGATGTCAGAATCCAATTATATTTCATCTTTAATTATCAAACATAGAAACTCCCAATTCTGCCTTCTCTGGATTATGCCATAAGAGGGAGAAAAGGGGGAGAGCAAAGGGGCTTTATGGCCCTCACTTCCTTCAGCACACTTCAAAGGACTGAATGTGTGTTTATTGTGGCCTCTAAGCTTTAACATCATCAAAGAGAGTTAATTGCCTTTCATGTAGTATCTGAAGTCTCCATCCAGACGGAAGAAGAAAGGGGATGGAATTGTGATACTTGAAACTATCACTGGAAGGGGGGTTGATTGGGTGGGACTACTGGGGAACCCCTTAAAACCTTGAATTGGAGAGCTTGAACCCCAAGTCCTGTCTAGCATGCCTGCAACCATTTTCTCTTAATAAAGGATTCCTGTTGGAAGAGCTATTCCAAGAGTTCTGTCTTCTTAAGATGCAAAGTGGGGTGGGTCCTTACATATATTTCTTTTCATTTATTAGGATTATCTTTTGCTGAGCCACAGACTTGATAAAGCAAGAAAAAAAAGAGTGAATTTCCCATTTAACATTGTAATTATGTTATCCATTATTACAGTTCTTTCCAAATTTGCTTAAACATATGCTATAACTTGACTCCAAAATAGAGCTACAGTTGGACAGGACTAAATCACAGGAGTTAAAAAAAATCCTAACACCAAAAAGTTCATATGCAGATGTTTGAAAAACATTCTTTGAGAGATGCATTAAACACAGATAAGCATTATCCATTTTTAAATCACAATAAACATATATTTCTTAAGACTTGAATCCATTTATTTTACAAGACTGGATAACTGTATTCTTAATTCCCAATTTTAAACCTGGGACTGAAGGAAGACCACCTTAGCGTATCACCTTTCTCCACTTCAGCACATACATATTTTCTGTTTTACCTGAGATCTCTCCTAGTTCATGAAAGACAAATATTTTTTCATCTGGACAAAAAAGATCTGTGTAGAATCTTTTCCTGATCACATGAAAAGCATAACATATCTTGGGATATTAAATGCAGCAGATGTTTGGTATTTGACCTAGTGTGTTAGAAACAATCTTACAACTGCTCTTCCAATGAATGAGTGAAACTTTATGCCTGAATTTGGAAATCTCCTTATTCTGAATCCTGAAACATAAGACTTAAGCCTCGAATCTTATACTTACCTTCTTGGGAGTTACCCCCACGAGTTCAGCAGGACTCTCTTTTGAAAGAACTATGCACAGAATAATACTGTGGCTGCATTTAAATCATCAATCAAACTGTCAGTAGAGGCTCATCAATAAATGCTTTCAAACACCTCTGAAAACAGTGAATTATTCATTCATGATTGGTTCACATGAAATCACTGTGAGATGAGACATCTTAATTGCCTTTACCTTAGTGATGGATTCGTGCAGGCGAAAGGAAGAATCAGGCTTTGTGGATATTGTCGAAGACACAGGAAAAACAGCTTCAGAAAGAAAGCTTGCTGTCTGTGTAAGTGAGAGAGAGGGAGAGAAACCTTTAAGACTTCATATTGATTTTCTTCCTTAGAAGCTTTATTGGCTTTTGTCTATGGTTTAAAGGATTTCAAATTCTTTTAAAGATTGTGTTGGTGATTAGACTTCATTTCAGTGATCCAGTTTACTCATTTCAACACAGTTTCAGAAACAATGAACTATATTTTTATTTTTTAAAACAAATAAACAAACAAGACATTGTTCTAATGGCATCCATTTTCATGTGTGCATGTCACTTGTTGAATCCATTAACTATATTCTTTCACCTCAAGGAGAAAACAATTTGTATTAATAATCCAAAATTTTGAAAGGCAGAGATTACATATGTTTAAACAGAATTACAAAAGCCAGAAGTATATTTGTGGTTTAGTTTGTAATATATAGAGATTTTTATATACTGTATAAACAGGTCAATATTTAGCACTGGGCTTTTGAATTAAGCATTGTGTTTATTGGCTATTTATTTATGTACTTATTTACGATGTTTGTAGTCTATACCAATCAAGACAGACTCTGAGTGAAAAATAAAGTTAAAAAAAATTCTACTGAAAAAAAGCTAACAATAAAATAAAAACTAAAATTAGTAATGCAACAACACAGGAATTTCCAACAATTAGTCAAGCATGATTGACTAGTAAGGTAGTCTTGAGAGCTTTGCAAATTA